CACATGCATACACAGGCATACACGCACATACATGCACATGCAGACACGCGCACACACACGAGCACGACAAACATATGTATATGTGTATGTCTCTGTACACATATCCTTCTGATTCCGTTCTCTCTGCAGACAGTGTGTGTGTATATAGGGAGGGAGTGGGAGAGAGAGAAGCTAATTTATTTTAAGGAACTGGCTCATGTGATTGTTGGAGGCTGGCAAGTGTGGGATCTGCAGGGCAGGCCGGCAGGCTGGAGACCAAGGGAAGAGTTCTGCATCCAAGTGCCATCTGGAGGCAGAGTTCCTTCCTCCATAGGGGACCTCAGTCTTCCCCTCTTAGCCTCTGAGTCCTTCAACCGACTGGACGAGGCCCACCCACGTGTGAAGTTCATCTGCTTTACTCAGTCTGCTGATGTAAATCAATCAATCCCTCCCGCTCTCCCTTCTTCCCTTTCTCCCTTCCTTCATCTCACTGTCACGCAGGCTGGAATGCAGAGCTATGATCAGGGCTCACTGCAGCCTCGACCTCACGGGCTCGGGTGGATCCTCTGGCTCCAGCCTCCAGAGTGTCTGGGACTGCAGATGCATACAACCACAGCCAGATCCTTTTTGTATTTTTTTGTGGAGTCCGGGTCTCATTATGTTGCCCAGGCTGGTCTCGAACTGCTGGGCTCCTGCAGTCCACCTGCCTCTACCTCCCAAAGTGCTGGGGTCACAGGTGTGCGCCACCATGCCCGGCCTGAGTGTGGCTGTCATCTTAAGAATGTCTTCACGGTGACATCTAGACTGGTTTGGCCGTACAGCGGGGCACTGTGGCCGGGCTCAGAAGGGTGTGCCCATGAGCAGAGGTGACAGCATCTGCTGTCCCACTGCTAGGCATGCGGAGGTTTAGGGGGACTGTGCTAATTTTGAGAAACAAGCGTCTTTGTCTTCTAGTGTCACTGCAAGAATTGTTCTCGTGGTGTCTGAGGTTAAGTACCAGGAAGTACTTCCTCCTCATTGTGATTTGAGGTGGAGGGTGGAAGGTTACAGCAGGGTATTTAGGTAATGAGTGTACAAATAAAGGTCCTTTTGCTGACCTGACTGAGGCCGAGGTAACCCCAGATCCTTTACCAAACATTGCTAAACACCCGCCACTCATGCTGCAAATGCTGAGTTCAAGCCCGAGTGCCCGAATGGTGAATTCAGGGGAGTCAGGACCAGAGAATGATGATCTAGACCTTTTCACACGGCGTTTGCTTAGATCAGGTGTTGGCAGACATTTTCTTTAAAGGCCAGAGAGTCAATATGGAGACTTTGCAGCACGAAAGCAGCTATGGACATGGCGTCACAGGCAATTGCGGCTGTGTCCCCACAGGAGTTTCTTTACAAGAGCAAATGGCTACTGGGGTTTGGCCTGGGGTCCTGGTTTGCTAACCCCTGGCTTTGAGGGCCTCTGGCCTGGCATGGGGTGGGAACAGCATCCGCAAGCCTGGGTCTCCGCATCTGGGAGATGGGATAGATAACAGTGCCATCACGTTAAAGATACAGGGATCGACTCAGAGTCTTCAGCACAGAGCATGGCATGCAGTGTCCAAGCAGCGAGTTGCTGCTGTTGTTACGGATGAGGCTGTTAGATCCTCCCTGACACAAAAGGAAACTGAGGCTGATGACACCCTGGAGCCTCCTCCCACCTGCATCTAATGCTGCCTAAAAGAGCTTTCTAATCTAAGGATTAGAAAGACAGCCAGGGGCCGGGAGCGGTGGCTCACACCTATAATCCCAAGACTTTGGGAGGCAAAGGCAGGCGATCATGAGGTCAGGTGATCAAGACCACCCTGGCTAACACAGTGAAACCCCATCTCTCCTAAAAATACAAAAAATTAGCCGGACATGGTGGCGGGTGCCT